GTTTGACGTGGCACAATTTTTTAAATTGCGTTTGATCCCGGTTTCTGATTTTTCTTTTAAAAATATTCCCAAAATCTAAATTTTCACCCATTTTTTTCAAAATTATTTTCAATTTAATCCTTAACTAATTTTTTACTCTTTTTTTCATTAAAATAAATTAAATTAAATTAATAAATAATTATATTGATAAAAATAATAAAATAATAATAATAATGTTGGGTTACATTATTAATATAAATATAATTATATTTATATTAATATAATAAAATAATTACGTGAATTAATATTTATAATTCCCATTGTGGGTTCCGGAACCATGCCATTCCTCTTTAAATTTGACGTAGGATGAATTATTTGAAATATATATATTTTATACATATATTTTTTTCATCAATTTTTCGTATGTATTTAAAGCTATATAATCTTGTTGCTGCTGCCATGAAATCACTTCAAAGCTATGGTACTAGTGATCTGAAAAAGAAAAAAAGTAAGGCAAGATTCAACAGTAAGATTCTCTCCCAAGTTCAAAATCCATACCGCCATTAATGGAGAAACAGATTGCCATTATTGGAGCTGGTCTGAGTGGTCTTCTCGCCTGCAAGTACATGCTCTCCAAGGGTCTGCAACCCGTTGTCTTTGAGTCTCGAACCGCCGTTGGAGGAGCCTGGATCAAGACCATACAGACGACGGAGCTCCAGACCCCCAAATCAATCTACCAATTCTCAGATTTTCCATGGCCGAGTTCAGTGCCAGAAGATTTTCCTGATCATGATAAAGTTCTTGACTATTAAATCCTACGCGGAGCATTTTGACTTAATCAAGCACATCAAGTTCAATTCCAGAGTTGTGGGAATTGAATATTTAGGGAGTTTCTAGCAGTGAAGACGTCCAGAAATGGAGTTTATGGGGTGGCAATGGTGAGGGATTTGGCTTGGGAGGAAAATGGCAGGTAGTGGTGGAGCACAACCATTGCGTTGCTGATGAGACTAAAGTACACTTAATAAGCCACTTCAAATAAATTTATCTCCTTATATGAACTTTAGATATATTTAGAAATAAGATAAAATTCATTTAAAAATTTATACAAACTTCAATCAGAAAATCTAAAACATATTCTTTTGATTTCATGTAAAAATAAAGAGAAAGTTGCATGCAAAAATAAGAGAAGTTACATGCAAAGGTATCCAAAAATATTTGCAAGTAATTACATATATTAATTCAAGAGCTTATTTAACGTGAAAAATCCAAGATTAATTGAAACTTTATTATGAACGGAACTCATAATCTCATGCAAGAAAGCTTTATTTCTCTTTGTTTGGGTGAGTAAGAAACGTACTAAAATTTTTCTAATGCAAAGAAAAATATCTTTTGATCCCACATAGCTTCTCAATATTGGAAAGCATGACCAGAGAAGTAAAAATTGCAGATTACGAAGTGAATTTTGTAATTCTTTGTGTGGGGAGATTTAGTGATGTGCCAAATATTCCAGAATTCCCACCTGGAAAGGGACCAGAAACGTTTCATGGAAAGGTCATACACTCCATAGACTACACTGAAATGGAGTATGAAACTGCTGCTAAATTTGTTGAAGGAAAGCGAATTGCCATTGTTGGCTTCCAGAAATCTGCACCGGACATGGCAATGGAGGTCTCAGCGGTTAATGGTACGCGCAAATTCACCTTCTACAATTTTTCGTCATGTTAATCGTAATAACTCCGTAAAAATTGAATCTGGGTATTAAGGAATTCTTCATATAGCTATCAATCTCTCAATAGATTGTAACTTCCATCCATCCATTTGCTGGGAAGCAAAATCCGTGGACAATGCTATACAGAAGTGAGCAATAGAGTATCCCTGATTATCTTCCATGGGGTTTACCTTTAGCATATTTGTATTTGACCCAGTTCTCTGAGCTTTTGGTACACAAACCAGGTGAAGGCTTCTTGCTCAGTCTCTTGGCTTCAATTCTTTCACCTGTGAGATGGGCACTCTCAAAATTTGTTGAAACACATATTAAAAGGAAGCTTCCTTTGGAAAAATTCGTAATGGTACCAGAATACAGTTTCTTTACTCAAATCAATACATGTATCGTATCAACAGTGCCTGAAAAATTCTATGAA